TACATATATATTTGTGTGTGTGTGTATAAATATATATATATATATATGTGTATATATGTATATATTTATACACATGTATACATGCATACACACATACATGCATACATACATACACACAACTTCAAAATAACATAAATTCTCAACCTGTACAGAAAACAGTTTCTGCGTCTCAGCGCCACCAGCTGGTGAGAGGTGGTGACGTCAATTTGAACCCCGCCCACTGGAACCGGTACTGAAAGCATAATGGAAACACAACCTGTACCGTACCGAGTAGAGTAGAGCCGGGCTGTACCGGCCCGTACCGGTACTAATGGAAAAGGGGCATAAGTCTACAAATCACTGAACAGTGTCTCCCCCCCCCCCCCCATCTCTCTGATCTGCTACAACCGTATGTCCCACCACGCTCCCTGAGGTCAGCGGATCAGTTGCTCCTCACAGTTCCAGGAAATCGTCTTAAGCGCAGAGGTGACAGGGCCTTCTCTGTAGCAGGACCAAAACTCTGGAAAGAGTTACCTCTGCTTGTCAGACAGGCCCCCTCCCTCTCGGTTTTCAAGTCCCGTTTAAAAACTCACTACTATTCAATAGCTTTCTACACAAGATGATCTGTGTTTTGATCCTGTATGCTCCACACTGGTTTGTCGTCATTATCTGCATTGTTTTTTGTCTATATTCTAATTTACCAAATTTTTTATTTTGCTTTGTGTGTGTTACCTGTTGTTTTGTCTGTACAGCACTTTGGTTGGCCTTGTTGCTGTTTTAAGTGCTTTATAAATAAAGTGGTATGGTATGGTACTCTTCCACTCTGGAGTTGCCCCTTGTGAGAGGCGCAAAGCAAGAGTGGGCATACTTGTTGCCCCCCCCCCCCCCATCTTGGTGCCTGTACGTTGGGGTTCACCCCACTGAATGAGAGCATAGCCTTCCTCCGCCTATGTGTGGGGGGATGAGTTCTGACTATTGTTTGTGCTTATGTGCGAAACGACAATTCAGATTTTTGGAGTCCTTGGAGGAGGTACTGGAGAGTGCAATTCCTGGGTACTTCCTTGTTCTGTTTTTTTCTTTTTTACATCATTGCCTCTAGACCTGCGGAAAGAAATAAAACCAAGACAAAACCGAGAAACCAAAACAACAAGCAACATATATGATGATACTTATAACATCATTAGAACGTATTTTGTACAGTACATGGTAATACAATATATACTAAGTGGCCACCACAACCCAATAGAGTGTGTACCTGATAAACACCTGAATCTAAACACCTGTGCGAGCATTCATGTCACTATAAGCTTTCTCCATAAAAATGTTCAATAGTGGATGTGGGGTCCCACAGACCCGTCCCCACCGGACACGATGGTAACACAGGGAAGACCGGAGCCACAGACCCGTGACAGGTTTTCAATTCAATTCAATTCAAAAATACTTTATTAATCCCAAAGGGAAATTATTAGTTGTTGTAACTCATTATCCTCATTTCATTAAGAGATGTTATAGATACTGATGGCTGTAGGCAGGAAGGATCTCTTGTAAAGGTCCGTCCCACAGCAGATCCTAAGAAACTGTCTGCAGATGCTGTCCAATCTGTCCACCCAGACTCGGCTGGCCTCTCGGTTCCCCCGGGCTGTAGGACTGCCCGAATGCTGGGCAGAACTTCTTCCAGAGTGATGGCCTCTCCTCCCAGCAATCTGCTGAGCTCCTCGTTGCTCAATAGAGTCAGCAAAACGAAGTTGCAGGGTCAAACTGTTCCACAGCCTGGGGGCCACTGACTGAAAGGCCCTGTCCTCTTTAGTTTTCAGCCGCGTACGTAGGTGCCAAGGGACGATCCTGTCCTTCTGCTGTCACGAGCCGTGTTTCCTGCTAGTTCCAGAATCTCAGTGATCAGGCACTCGAGCACAGCTGGCAAGATAGATGAGAATGCATCCACAGAACATCCTTTCAACTCACTGAAATTTGGGGCTGTAGTTGAGATATTATTTGAGCTTTTGAGATGTTCATCAGCTGCTGTTGGTTGTAGAAAACTGCCTTGTTGCCATGGTTACCCATCATAACAAATGTCCAAAACTAAAAAAGTTTAAGTAAAAATCCTTCCAGCTGCACAGCATCTGATACCAGAGGAAACAATCATCCAAAAAAATCATCCAAAAAAAATGTGATTTACATCCAGAAAAAGAGGAATTAAAGTTTCCAAAAGCAAAATCTCAGAATGAAAGTAACAGAGCTGTTCCAACATGCAGCCACCTTGAGTGGCGCAATTCTAGAACATTTAATGATGGTGGAGACATTACTGCACTCCCTGATTGAGCTACAGGTAATACAGATAATTTTGAGCTCTTTCAAAGTTTCTAGTAGAAATGTTGTGTCGCTCACAGACCAGTTTTGCTTCCCCGACATAATATTATTAGCATTAGCCAGGCTAAAATTACATAGATCGCACGTATAGTCAGGTCAGTTTTTCATGAACGGAAAAAAAATGAACAGATTAAGTGTTTATATGTACACCTTTTGGAATATGAATCGGCATAAACCACCCATCTCATTCTGATTACAAATTCTTTCGGATCGAGCTGAATAAACAAAAAATAATCTGAATGTGACGTTTACATGATGCATTTTTATTCTCAATGGCCGTTTAATCCTATTATTTATGTCCATGTAAACATAGCTATTGACAGTCCTCTAAAATCAACCTGCTTCAGCTGGACCTGAGGGGTCCTAAAGGCCGCCACATACTCGGACGTACTTCACTCTGCAGTGGTCCGCACATACTCGAGGCAAACTCGAAACAGACGTCTGCAAGCCATGTCCGCGCAAAGATCAATTTTTACGAACGCGTACGCGTACTCGTTTTCGCACAATAAACAGCCCGGTGACGGATTGTTTTGTATGCAACACCAATGTATTAAATTCCCCTTCTTCATCCCTGGTCTGGTTTATTGGCCTTTTCTTTTGTTTTTTTGCCAAGAAGCAAGTGATCTCTTCCTCCTCGCCCGTTGATGCCATGACTGAAATTGTGAGAAATGAAGGAATTTGTCACAAGAGGATTAAAATCAGGCCCAGCGTGGCTGTAGGAGGGTCTGGAGATTTTCCGGTGGGCCGGTCTGATGTGTGGGCTGCAGGGCCAGCGCTTCCTGTATTTTTTGGAACTTTTAATCAAGAACATATAAACACACCATCCATCCATCTGTCCGTCCGTCCGTCCGTCCATCCATCCATCCATCCGCTTCTTCCTTTTCAGGTTTGTGGGGGTCACTGGTGCCCATATCCAGCAGTTATTGTGTGAGAGACAGGGGACACACTGGACAGGTCTCCAGTCCATCACAGGGACACAGAGACAAACTAGACAAATAACCCTTCACTCTCTCTCTCTCTCACACACCAAGGGACAATTTAGAGTTACCCATCAGCCTAACATGCATGTTGTTGGTCTGTGGGAGGAAACCAGAGTACCCAAAGAAAACCCACGCATACACAGAGAGAGCATGCAAACTCCACCCAGAAAGGTCCAGGCTGTCTCAGACTGCTCGTGATTTTCCAATACTGGTTGTGAAAACATTATACAATCATATAATAATATTGTTATCACAACTGGTGTTTTGTTGTGACTGCAAGAACCATTAAATCCGCTGTAGTTGTCATTCCCGGTCACTAGCTGGACATGTGAAGTTTGTATTTAAACAATAGGTACATGCAGACAGACATTTCAGTCTCGTGCATGAA